TGGCAGTACTCAGGCTGGCAGAGACAGGATCATACAGCTGAAATTGAATGTCTCTTTTATGTGGAGAGGAAGCTGAGATTCCTCTTGTGACCCCAGGATGTAGCTGGCCACCGTCAGTGGAGTGATGCTCATGATCCAACCTCTGGGCTCACTTCCTTTTGGGTTATAGCAAGCCTTGGTACACACCCACCATGTTGATAATTTGGAGACACAGGTTTACCCTGGGGAGATGTTGTGTGTGTGTGTGTGTGTGTGTGTATTGGATGAGTGCCAAATGAACTTTACATTCTGGTAACATTGAAAAACTCCAGGCTGGAGTCTGGAGACCAGTTGTACTAATTCAGTCACTCGTTTACTACGTGACTGTTCTTGTTAACTGATGGCAAGTCTGTGGGTTCTGACTCATAGCAATCCTTTATAAGCTTTCTGAGGAGTGGCTAGTGAGTTTGAACCACCAACTTGCAGCTCAAACAGACCTTGCAGTCCAATGCTTATCCTACAGTGCCATACCAGGACTGCTATGTGACTATGGGAAATTCATTCACTTTCTATCTTGATCTCATTTTCTCCATTAGCTGGACCTAATCTTAAAGCCTCTTTCACCCACCTTGGTCTACAAAAATTACTTGTTTTGTTTTGTTTTCTGGTCACTTACTTCCCAAGGGGCCTTTTCTCATCCTAGAATTTCTCACTGAGGGACTTCCTGTTAGCCCTACACACGTGTGACAAGAGCACAATGAAGAGGTTGTGAGACCCCTTAGCCAAGATGTCAACAGAGCACACAAGAGTTCTGTGTCTACTGTTTATTGTTGATTCTGTACACCAAACTTGTTAACAAGCAGCATCCAGCAAAGGACAGGCCCGCATTCCCACCCACCAGGGCTCACACTCTATGAAACCCCCATGGGCCTAGAAATCTCTACATCACCAAGCACCTGGGACATTTTACAATGATTCAATAAGCGAGATAAACAAGATCTACTTTTGAAGGCAGCATGAAGACAACATGAAAGCTGATAAGCACAATCTCTCCTTAGGAAAAGAACCTCAAACTGGGAAGAGTTTTACCTGGAAGTGGTCTACCAGCCCACCCTCTCTGCCTTCTGCAGCTCCCTGGATATGGTTCTGACTATGACTTCTGTAGGCTGAGCTCTTTGAGTGGACTACAGATGACAAATCTCTGAGCATCTCCAGCCATTGGCTGCTCTCCACAAGCTTCCTGAGTTGTCTACATTGACATCTGAAAAGTGTGCAGTTGCCCATGAATAAGGTCCAGGGACATTTTGAGAATTTCACTGTGCTTCTAAATTCTAAAGAGGAGGAACTACACAGCCCCAGCTACTTTCATGAGATGGGTGAGCTTTACTTTCATAGATGGATGGATTTGACATATTCTTGTATTTACAAAGGTTCTGATCCATAGAGTACCAAGTGAGCTTTCAGTGGCTAAGATGTGAGGGGATACTGGAGTATGATTTCCATTTTCTTTGGTTTAATGATGAAAGCCTGATGGGCCACAGGGCCTTGTTCAAACTTTGAAAAGAGAAGTAAAGCCACAGCTTCATAAATAATGTTGCAGAATAACAAATGGTTTTATACAAAGTTGTTCTGAGGGTTAAAAAGAAAATGTGTGGCAAAGGTTTTGAAGGGTAACTATGCACATGTTAAAAAAAAAAAAAAAAGAAGAAGTGATTTGAATTGGCTTTTTCCTCCAACATTGACCTCACTCTAGATGGAGGCTGGTGACTGGCAAAGTAGCCTAGAAGCCAGTAAGCAGAGAAGGAGAAGTGAATGGAACTCTGAACCCTATGCCAGTTCTCTCGAGATCCAAATGGCTCATTCCAGTGCCCAGAGATGAGGTGCAAATGCATCATCCCTGTTGGAAAGGGAATCCACCCAGTCTCTCTTGCAGCTGCAAAGCCAACAACTGAAAGGTTAGCTCCATTCAGTCCACTCTCTGATGGGAGAAAGGAACAGGCAAACTCAGATCTGGTAAAGAGTTCACCAGCTTTCACCTATGGTCTTCCTGAGTGGGGTCATCTGAGGGCATCTGTCTTCGTGCAGCCTTTGACTAGGGGCATGCATTGATATCCTAGGCTGGAGAGAAAGGTACTCCAATGCCATGGTCAACACTGGGCTTTGGGCTAAGATTCACAGAGCACACTGAAATGAAGAGGATTTTTCTTCTTCCTTTTCTGTCATTCCTGGCCCACTTGTGTCCCTGCTGGATGAGATGTAGGGGCACACTCACAAGGAGTACCTGTAAGTTCTGGGTATGAGGACTATGGGGGCAAATCTTGCCTCCTGAATGAAAGAGATGAGGCTCCAGCATCAATATAACAGGTCAGTGGAGTGATGCTCATGCTTCATCTGAAAGCACTTCCCTTTGGGTTCTGGAAAGCCTTGGTATATGTCTGAAAGATAGTTTAAGGATACTTTGGAGACCTGGATTTACCATAGGGAGGTGAAGTCTTTTGACTATGACGACCCTAATCTCTCCCTAATTCCCTGATCAGAGAGTGAAAGCAACAAAGTACACTGGTTGTTACAAACATCCCTTCCTGGATCCTTTTTGTTGGGGATAGCTGGTCATCCATCAGCACCAAGCTGCTAAGATCATAGAGGGTTTATTATTTGTCATGTGGGGTAGAGGAAACCCATCAGGAGTGGTGGTGGATTTCTAAATCCCTGTTGAGTCAACTGGAACTCTTTACTGGGCAGATGTGGAGATCTGTAGCAAAAATATCTGTTTCACCACTATTTTTGCTTCTTTAAACTGATGGGCCAGATTGTTCCAGATTACTAAGAGCATGATTCCTTTAACAGTGTGTGAATACCTTTGTGGTAAATATGGAAGCAAGGGCAGGTATTCATGTGACTGAAACTCAACCTGTAATTTGAAGAGAGTAATCCTGGACCAAAGAGTCCCTCTGGATAATGCAAACATGAGCACATTCAGCTGCGTGAAAGATTAGAGGTTCAAGTGTATCCAAAGGTGCATTGGGAAAAAAGACTCGGTGATCTGTGTCTGAAAACTCACTCATTGAAAACTCTATGGAGTACAGTTCTACTTTGATGCATATGGGATCACTTAATCAGAACCAACTCAACAGCTACTGGTTTTTAACCTTGGAACAAGCAACTCAACTCTTGTTACTAGATCACAGGCAGGAGGCATTCTAGAGCCCTCAGATCCAGAGTATAGCTGTGTATTCAGACGTTGCTTCCTATGTGTGAACATTTTGAAACTCAATTGCTAGTTTACTGTTATGCTGATGGAGAACTGGACCTCACATTAAAGGGATTGTTGGGTTCTATTACACTTGGCTGTTCAATTAAAGGATCTCATCTCTGAGCTATTTTACTTTCCCAAAATGTAGAATGAAAATTAAAAACAGATATAGGCCTATCATGCCCATAAACAGGCTTGGGCAGAGGGGACTCCAATATTGGAGCAGCAGACAGCTTGTTGGCAGAGAAGGATATGTGGGTGCCTGGCTCTCTGCAGGCAGAATGCGTCTGACCTGGTCTCTGGATTTAATAAAATCTCTTATCTGAGTCAAGAGCCCCTGAGTGGAGCAAACAGCTAACAAGCTCAGCTTCTAACCAAGAGGTTGGCGGTTTGAGTCCACACAGATTGGTCTTGAAAGAAAGACCTGGAAATCTACTTGTAAAAGTCCGCCATTGACAACGCTGTGGAGCACACATAGGGGTCTCCATGCGTCCTCAGGATCAATTAAACAGCAACTGCTTGGCTTTGGTTTTGTTTTTCTATCCAGGTCAGATTGTATCCACATCTTCTCCTGTCTCTCGCCCTTCCCAACTGGTCCTTCCAAAAGACTGGGGATAGTGAGGAACTGGCCCTGAGTCCAGAGGAGCCGGTTCTCAGGAAGGTCATTTTCCATTTCTAGCATCCCCAATCATCCTAAATAAAAGCCCTGGGAGGGATATGGATGATGTTCTGTTCCTTGATCTGAATGCTGATTCAAGGGTGTGTCCCGTTTGTAACAATTCATAAAGTTGCATATTTTCATGTTCCCACTGCCTGTATGCATGCTCCACTTCAATAAAAAGGTTAAAAAAGAAAGAAAGAAAGAGAAAACCGCCAGGGATGAACGTAAGGACCAGGTTTCTTTCCTCCATCCAGTACCAATAAGATGATTTTAATATCTTTAGAGGTCAGAAATTTTATATGATTTCATTCCTTAAAGGGCTAAAAATTTCAAAGGAAAGCTGTAGTTCAAAAATATCATATCCTAGAAGGTTGAATTGGTGGCCCTGGTGCTTTTTCCCTCTTCCAGATAAAAATCACAAGTGTAATGCTGGTAGTGGCATCTCTCCAGGAACTGGGAGGCTTTGTTTTCCCTTCTCTTGTCTACAGCGTCCTGAAAGCCCAGATGTTTGGGAGCTCTTCAGAAGTCAGCTAAATGGTCTGAATCCTTCTTTGAGGAGAGAACTCATCCTGCCTGCCTTCAGGATCAGAAAATCACGGGGGGTGGGGGTGGGGGTTGATTTTTCAGGTGAGAGGACAAGGCAGAGCCATGGTACCAAAGAGAGGAGAAATCAAATTACATATAATACTTTAAGTAAAGGGGCTGTACCCGGTGGAGAACTATTCCCACAAAGTGAGCAGGCTTAGTAAGAGTTAAGTCTACTGAGACCAGACGGGGCATGGACCTAGGGAAGTCTGTTCTTGAGATAGAGTTGATGAGTATTTAGGGCAAGGGCCTTCTCAAAGGAAGCCCACAGATGGAAATACCCCAGGGTTTTGCCTTGGCCAGTTGGATCTCTCTGGTGGTAAGAAGGTCCTCCAAGACCTGCTTCTCTACAGGAGAATCAGGTAGGCCAAGAAGAGGTGGGAGCATCTTTCTCTCAGGCCCAGAGAGAAGGATCAAGGTGGCTCTATGGACCCAGAGGTGGAAGTAGAATGATGCAATGCCCTCTTGTATTTCCAGGATTCTCATCCCACCATCCCCCAGGCCTGCCTCCAGGTGGCCTCATTAACACTCATTGGGTGCCTTCATTTGCATCAGGACCGTGTGACCCCTCTTCTTGCAGCAGCAACAGCAGATGCAGGCAGCCACGGAGGCGGCCAAGGCAATGATGCCAATGACAATGGCAGCAATGGCCAGCCCACTCTGGGCACGGGTCATGCCCCACGAATTGCGATCATCAGTAATCTCCACGGTGGTCAGATCAGTATAGTCCTGCTCGGTGCTGGTATAGTCAGTGGCAGAGGAGATGGAGGTGGTGTCAGGATAGCTGGATGTGTCTGGGTACTGTGGCGTTTCTGGATAGCTGGGTCCCTCAGGAGTCTGGGCACTGGGGACAGCATTAACGTTGACATTAATGATGACAAGAGACTGGCCTCGAACATTGGCTGGGCTGGAACACACTGGGAGGGCATCTGTCCCCAACCTAGGCTTGTTAAGCAAGAGCCAATTGCGGAGTGGAAGGATGTCTGAGTCGCATCTCCAGGGGTTATCATATAGCCGAAGCTCACACAGGTTCCCCAAGTGATCAAAGATGCCCATGGGCAGATTCTCCAGCTGGTTGTTCTGCAGTTGAATGGTCATCAGGCCATTGACATTGGCGAAGATATTCCCAGGGAGCTGTTTGAGGCGATTATTCTGCAGAGAGATATTCTGTAGGTTGGTCAACATGCGGAAGATGTTCCCATCCAAGTCCTGCAGTGCATTGGTGTGGAGGGAGAGCTCCCGAAGCTCCCTCAGCCCATTAAAGGCCCCAGGGGAGATGAAGCTGATCTGGTTTCGACTTAAGATCAGGACCTGCAGTTGGCTGAGGCTGCTGAAGACATTGTCAGGAAGGGAAGTGATGTGATTGTCATAGAGCCAGAGCTCCCGAAGGTTGTGCATGGGCCCAAAGATTCCTGGGGAGAGTTCCTTCAGGTTATTCCCAAAGAGCGTAAGACGGGTGAGCTGCGGCAGCTGCATGAAGATGCCAGCGGGCAACTGGGAGATGTGGTTGTTGGACAGATAGAGTCTCTGGAGGTTCGGATTGTTGTGGAAGAGGCTTGGGGAGAGCGTACCAATCTGGTTCTGCTGCAGGGCGAGTTCCTGGAGATTGCCAAGTCCATCAAAAGTGCCCATGGGGATGTCTGAGAGCCTGTTCTCAAACAGCCGGAGGACCTGGAGGTTGCCCAGGTGCTGAAAGACCCTGGGTGAGATGTGAGTCAGGCTGTTTTTGCCCAGATTGAGCTTGGTGAGGCCCCCAAGGTGGTCAAAGACACCATCGGGGATGTATTCCAGGTGGTTGCCATGCAACTGCAATTCCTTGAGGTTGCTAAACTGGGAGAAGTGGGCCGGCTGAATCTGCACCAGCTGGTTGCTGGACAGAAGGAGTGACTCAAGGTTATCCAGGCCCTGGAAGAGGCCAACGGGCAGAATCTGAAGCTTGTTGTTAGCAAGACTGAGGTAGCGCAGCGAGCCCAAGTTGCGGAAGGCTCCAGGCATGATGTGAGACAATTCATTCTTCTCAATCCTCAAGGCAATGAGGGCCGAGATGTTGAGGAATGGTGACTCATTGAGCTCAGTGATGTGTGTGTTGAGGATCTGCAGGCTCATGGCATTCCACGGCAAAGGGGAAGGCACGGCGACAATGCGTGCCCCGGTGCACTCCACCTGGGACGCCCTGGAGCAGGTACACTCGCTAGGGCAGCCATAGTAGGCTAGACCTGCACTCCAGGCTTGGCAGCCCACCAGCAAAAGGAGATAATGTTTCAGTGGCATGGCCTCTGCAAGGGGAGAGAGCACATGTTAGTCAGGGTCCTCTAGCCTACCAGGGCCATTTTTAAATCAGTGCCAAATACTGGCTTGGCTTTGAACCCCATCACTACATACCAATTTATGCTTCCAATATTCTCATCGGCATATCTCTTGACCTTCCCTCAAGCCTTCACACTCCATGTCTTTGCTTAACAGTTCCCCCAGCCTAGAGTGTTCTTCTACAACCAAATCGTTTCCATGTTTCAAAGTCAAGTTCAAATGCAATCCCCTCTAGGAAGCTTTCCTGCATGCCATGAGTCAGAATGAGTTATTCACTCATGCAAATGGTCCTCCAAACCTCCATCCTTCCCCATGCTGTAGCCGGTCCACCTGAGCATCATTGAGTTCCCAGTATTCAGTAATTCTTTCAAGAGGGACATTCATCTTTCATCCCTACAATCTCCTTAAAACATGTCTGTGTTTTATTCCTACAATCTCCTAAATTCATCCATATCTCATAGAACCTAAGACTGCTGGTTGAACCCAGTCTCCTTAGGAGAAACAGAGAACAAATAAATAGGACCTGGACTTGGGGGACCATAGTGGTTGGCCACGAGGAGCAGCAACCCACAGAGGGGGGAGCATGCTGCTGAACTGGAGGAAAGACTACAGCGAAGCTCAGCTTTTCCTCTGTTCCTGCCTCTGCCCTGCTCCACCACACCCCATCACCACTATCAACCACCCGGCCCTTTGTTAACCCTTTCACATGTGCTTCATCTAGGTCTAATTCAAACAACCTCCACAATAAAAGGAAATTATCTGTCTGCATCACTTCCTGTCTCACCAGGAGAGGCTGCTGTGGTTCAGCAAAACCTGCCTCAGGCCTGACTTCTGGTACTAGTCCTAGTTTCCACAAAGAAACAATACTGTTGTTGTTAAGTGGAGTAGAGTCAGTTCCAACTCATAGCCACCCTATATAGGGTTTCTGAGGAGTAGCTGGTGGGTTTGGACTGCCGACCTTGAGGTTTAAACAGACATTGTGGTCCAGTGCTTATCCCACAGCACCACATGAAGACCCCACAAAGAAACATTAGGTGGTCTTGAATAAGACCTAGGAGCTAAAAGGTGACAGGTGCAGATGTCCCTCAGGAACAGGAGACAAATTCATGAAAGTTTTGGCATTGGCGGTCATTGGTAATGATGATAATGACATATACTGTGCAGACATGGGTACTAGTCCTTGCTTGAATATTTAAGTCCCTGGGTAGTGCAAATGTTTTGCAGTCAATTACTAACCTACATGTTCACTGTATGAACCCAAGCAGCAGCACTGAGGAAGAAAAGCCAGGTGATCTGCTTCCATAATAATTACAGCCACGGAGCAGTTCTACTCTGTACACACGGGGTTGGCACGAGTCTAAATTAACTCAACAGCAACCCAGAAAGACTTAGTACTTTTTATTGATGGTAAAATGTATCTGAGTCAACAAAGAAAGAAAGCTGCCCATGAAAGCTCATGTAATCTAACCTGGAACAAGAGCAATGATAATCTATGTACTTCAAGAAGGTCAATGACAAACTGAAGGGTCTCTAGAGACAGGCTCTCACAAGGTGGTGAGAAGACACAATCACTGAAGGAAATATGGATGACTAGCTAAAGGAAGAAATCTACTTCCAAAACATTAGTCATCCCTAATCACCATCATGGTCATCCACCAGAAGAGGATAAGATGTGAAGCCCACAGGCACAACCCAAAAAGGATGGCTATGGGTAAAGTAAGTAGCCTTGCTAGATGTGGCCCCATGGCTCACAACTAATGGGTTTCAGTTTACCATCAAAGAGAACTTATCCAACATCAGAATGGGCAAACTCCTAGAGGTAGGTTTCCCATCACTATAAGTGTCCAAGTAAGGAGTCAGTAACCATTAGGTAAGGAGCCCATAGTAAAGAGCTTTAAGTCTGGTGGGGTAGTGAACTAGAAGACAGATGATGCCCTGTCCTTCCCTAAGACTTTAGGATTCTAAAACAGAATCACCGAGCATGGAGCAAGACAACTGTATCTGTGCTCACTGAGGACTGGGTTGTACTCTCTAGGCTGACTTACAGAAAGTTAACATTTTAATTGCTCCTGGCGATGTGCTGACACTTTTTAAATTAATTTATAATGGATATTCCAAGCTCTGGTAGAGTAGCGATTACGAATAGGGCTGCTAACCTCAAGGTCAGCAGTTCAAAGCTCCCAGCTGCTCTGCGGGAGAAAGATAAGGCTTTCTGCTCCCATAAAGATTTACAGCCTGGAAACCCTGCACAGGGTTGCTATGAGCCGACTCCATGACATATAACCACCACCACCATCACTCTGAGCCCTGCTAACTTCAAAATGGTGTTGCAGCCTAAGTATCAGAATTAAATGAAGTGCCCATAACCTGGCAAGCCCAGGGCAGTCTTTGTGGCGTTTCCCTGTGTATAAAATGAGGATGGGGCTGTGGCACCCACTGGGGGCCCACCTCTATCTGGCCTTCGCTAAGTCTACAAATGCCCAAGTGAGAGGGATGTGGAGCCAGCCTGAAGAAGGATCCAAGTCAGGGCATGCCCATCATGGTCTCTGGAGAGGAGGGAAGAGATAACTCCCTTATGGGAACAGAATCATTGCTGTCTCAAATGGACCACGCTCAGCACGACAAACATGACAAGAATGTGTGGATTTTCCTTTTTATACATTCTCCAGAGTCTCATCTGCAGAGCCCGCCCAGCATCACGGCTGCGGTTTCCTGTCGTCTATCACTTGTTGCTGCGCTGGCACAAACTGCTCCAAACAGCTTTCACCAAACCCACCTCAAACCCAGTGGTGGGAGAGGGAAGAGCTCAGAAACAGGGCTGGATTTTCAGCAAGCAAGTGTGGTAGGCACCAGTGACAGCTCAGTCCCCTCAGAAGTCCAGCACAGAGTGGCCTAATAGCCCACGCTGCCCAGTGCCGCTTGGCAGCTGTGACAGATGCCAGTTAAAGGCCCACAAAGCTGTCCTAATTACACCCTCCTCCCCCAGGAGGCAGGAGCGCGTCCTCAATCACAGCTGGGACTCGGTCCACCCCTGTCCTAGGGAAGAGGCGAAGCTGGCCGCTGGCTCATGAAGTCAGCTGGCAGACAGGACAGACAGACAGCTCACCTGTACACTATGACATGTTCCCTCCCCAGGGGCAGAAGCGCTTGAACCAGAGTGCTTCAGCTGTGGTTCTCTTTAGCAAGAATACCCTCTGACTCATGAGGGAACATATAATTAGCCAGGAAGCCCTGGGCTTTGTTGGTTGGTGGGTTGGGATTTATTTAAATTTAATACCATCATTCACATTCCCCAAACACGAGGAAAGAGCCTTCTTTTTCAATGCCACAGAGCAAAGTTTTTGGAAAGAGCCTGGGAGACTAGAGTTAAACTCTGGTCTTGACCTTAAATTAGAATATACATTTAGGTAAATGCTCCAAGCCTCAGTTTCCCTTTCTCTAAAGACTTCCAAGGCTCATTCTAGCTCTGATATCTTCTGACAGAAGACAGAATCTAGCCTGAAGCCCTACCACTCTTCCTCCCCTCTTCCAGATGGGTTATGCCCCACTCACAGAAGGTGGGTCTGTGCAGTACCTGGCTCAACCCACACCTTCTGACTGACGCTGAGGAACACCCATCTTTTCAGGCCCACTTTGTTTCAAAGTTTTCCAGGCAGGACACATCATCAGGTACATGATCACAATCTGCCATAACCTTTCATGGAATCCAGTTGCTCAGATGGCCTGACAGATCCTCTGCTTCCTGGCTCATCTGCAAAAACTGAAGCCTAAAGAGGGGATCCCCCTCTTTGTCTTGTTGCCCTCATCCCAATTTAGGGTTCCTTGAACATATCTTATCTGCAAGGAGATGTTTCCCTGTTCACCTGAGGATTTCCAAGGACAATGTCCAGTCTTGGAATCCATCAGGGGTTGGCCTTGGATGTTTGGTCCACCAACAGGTGTGAAGTTCATCCAGATGTTCCCATCTCCCTAAAGAGGGGGTACTGCCCATCATCCCAATCCAGAAAAGAAAAGAAACTCACTGCTATTAAACTGGTTCCAACTCAGAGTGACCCTGTCTATATTAGGTCTCCAAGACTGTAAATCTTTACAATCATCTTTCTTCTGCTGAGTGGTTGGTGAGTTTGAACTGTTGACCTTGTGGTCAGCAGTCCAAAACCTAATCCATAGTATAACCAGGGCTCCTTGCCCCATCCCACCCACCTCCCAGATCCAGTACATAAAAATCCCCAGGAAATTTGTTTGAAAGAAGTGGCCCCTTATCGACCTGACCCAACTCACTCTTCTGCACCCCTAATAGAAATCTAGGGCTTTGTACAGAATTGAATCTAGTGGGAGAAGCTGCTTCCAGAAGCAGCATGGCCCAGAGTGTCGAAGGAGCAAGTGCCTTTGGAGACCATCCAGTCAAACCAACTGGTCATTATATAGATGGAAAAACTGAGGTTCAGAGAGAAGGGGGACCTGTCCAAGGCCACATAGTTGGTTGGTAAGTTCTGACATCAGATTCAGGTTCCCTGAGCTTGGTGAAGCCCAGAGCCTTCTTAATTGGGCTTCAGGATCTTATGAACCTGGTGCCTGGGCAGTAACTGACAGGAGGAAGAGTGGCTTTGCTCCTGCCTCTTACAAGGATCAGAGGTCTTGTACTACCAAACTTCAAGCTGCCCAGCATTATTAACCAAATACAACTGCCCCTCCCAGCTCCAGGGCTGACTAGCCTGAGGAGGTCTCTGCTTTAAGGCTGCTCTGATGCTCTTGTGGGTTCATTTTCACTAGGGTGTCCTGGAAGAGTAGCAGGGAGGCATAGATGGAGTCACTCGAAGGAACTGATCCCAGTAACCTCAACACACAGCCCACCCAGAGGTCCCCAATGTAGGAACACTCCCCAAGGCAAAGCAGACCAAAGCCTGCCACACCCTTGCCCCCATACCTGACTTACTTGTTGACCCTTCAAAGCTAAAGTATGGCTCAGTTTT